AGCTTCATGACTTCCTATGGAACAAAAAAGTGGCGTAAGGCACGTCTTTGCACTTGCTCTAGATCTGATTTGATGTCTTCGTATTGTCAGTGGAAAAGCAATCATCTTCCGGTTTAACGGAAATCAGCAGAAAGGAAAAGGGGCATCTATACATGAATGGCTCGCTCGTAGTTTTCGCGGATAAGCTCGAATGTTTGCAGCTTCCTCCCACAGTCAGAGATGGTGTCAAAGAGCTGCATTGTGTCCAGCTGAATGTGAGGGGTCGCCTTTGCCTTTGAAATGAGCACGAGAGCATGGCAAATGTGTAGCCGCTTTGTATATATTTCAGTCCTTGGAATAATAACAATTGACCTGGATTTCTGTATATGTGTACACACACATCACCATAAATAAAAAAAAAAAAAAAAAAAATCCGCAGGCGTGTGCATTTACGTCAGTATTTTTGAATGATTATTACGCCACGCTACTACGCACGCATATTTTGTTTGTAGTAGCATCATCATTCTGTTGTGCCGTGACGCCATTCACCAAATGAGCCAATAGTTATGAGTTATCAGTGCCTTGGTTTCTGTCACACGCCAGTTTTCACCAGATGGTTGTTCTTCAACAATATGATTGGTGGAAATTGCTGTTGGTTTCCTGTGTAATATGTGTTCATATTCTCCCCCTGCACTTCCTGTAAGTAAGATAATAATCACAATAATATTTGATGTCTTTGTGTTATTCTGTGAGTGCCCTGTAAACATTTTCTGGGTCATCTAAAAGCCCTGTGGCGGAGTAACTCTTGGTAGGGGTTACATTACTTACTAAATAAATCTGTTTAAACTAAAAATCCCTCTACATTATGTAAGGGATAATGTTCAGTCGAGCCAGTTATTATGGTTAAACAAACCCTGCCTGAGTTTATTTTGTGATAACAGCTGCCTGACTGATATTTCCCAGATAAATATGTGCATGAATATTCAAATGTTTACCTTAAGTAAAAGATCTGCAAAGACCGCATACTATACACTGCAATGTAGCAAATCTGTAAGAGATGGAGAAGTCTGTAGACTTGGTAAGTAAATCACAAAAAAATATAAAATAATTGAGCCCATGTGAATGGACAAATAATAGACAAGTAATTTATTTGCACCCAGGCCATCCAATATGTCTTTCCCCCCCTTAAGTGGAACATAAAAGAAGAATTTTAGTTGAAAGTGGTCCTTGGTGATTCATAAAATCCAGCTCAATGACCACCTACACTCTGAGAGTCATAAAAAGTATAGGCAAAACAAAATGAATGAGGACACACAGAGGTCTTATGAAGCCAAACAAATGTTTTATGCTGGAAACTTTACATTGTTGTTATTACAGCATTGTTACATTTTGTACAGTATGCACTCAAAACAATAAATGTTGCACTGAAGAAAGAAAGTCACCTACATTTTAGATGGTCTGTGGTAGGGCTGCACAATATTTAATAAAATCAGACATTGCAATATCTTTATGCGATATGAATGCAGTTTTAACAGATGGTTCAATAGCACTATTTTGGGGAAGAAATCTTGAATTTAGACTGATTATGGTGGTTTTGTTGGGGAATGAATCATGGACAAAAAATAAACAAATTGCAAGCAACAATGTATACAGTAGAGCAGTGGTTGTCAAACAGTGGTACACAGAGGAATCACTGAATAATTAAAGTAAAAAAATAAACACGCTTTAACCCTTTAATGCGTATACTAACACCGATGTGATCAGCAAATTGATTTTAAAAGGCTAAACCTTTTATTTTATTTGAATTTTTCTAATGTATTCTATCATTTGAAGCTAATTTCCTTCCCATATTTGTAACGGTTGTTGCGGGCACATCCCATATTTATATATAATCCCAATGTTGATGGGTTTAGTTTAATCACCTGCTTTTCTGGCACACAAAGCCTACTCTTATGCTCAGTGAGCAGGTCTAATTTCTAATTTAAATATTCAAATTCAAATGGTATATTTAAAATACACACTAATGTTTAGATTTCAAAAGAGTTTATATATGAATATGATGGCATACAGCCTATATTTATAAGGTCCAAGGAACATTTGCAGGTTTTGATGAATAAGCTGCTTTATGATAATACTTTACATTTACGCACAGCAGTTTTCTTTTTTTACTTTTTAAGAACAGAGCTATTTTTTATTAACTTTTAAAAGCACATTTTAATTTAAATGTTGACATTTTATTTATTTTTTTCCTGTAAGCACAGTACAGTGTTAATGTTCAAACTATTTATAATGGTTAAAGTGTTTCACAATAATAAGTATTCATAATAATAGTAATTAATCTGCCTGGTTTTTGAACTCTGCAGAGCTTTAGCTGCTTAATAAGGCCTACTACGCTACTGTATTTCAATATTGGTCATTATGGTGGTACATGGAGAGACACTTTTTTTCTGAGGTGGTAATAGAGCAAAGAAAAAAGTAAAACAAACAGCGTTATGGTTTTCTGGAGTGTCAAACAGAATTCAAGTACAGAATATTCAAATCAATTGTAAAATGTTAAATAGCAATGTATAGACTTTATTGTATTAATAAAAAGAAGAATTATTGTTTCTTCAAAGTTACAAATGTTGTTCTTTTTCTCCCCAAATGCTTCAATCTCTCTTGAAATGCTTTCAAAACACATGCAAATGATACATTTTCACTCTGTTTTAGTTACACTTTGAAGTTACCCAACAATTCTCAGGCATTCTTAACTGTGGTGCTGATCAACTATAATTCAAAGCAACATTGCATATCCTGCGATGTGACTATTGCAGATGCACACATTGCGATATCAATGCTGAAACAATATATTGTGCAGCATTAGCCTGAGGGGTGAGTAAATTAAAGGATTTCCACATTCCTATTTTTAAGTTAGCACATTCTCTTTAAGGTTAGAAAATACTACACAGTTTTAAAAATCACTTTCCACCTAAAAAAATCTCTTTCAGATTCTCTGCCTTTTGTTCTTATCCAATGAGAATCTACAATCATATGTGGTTTGAAATAATATTTAAGTCATATTTCTGGAAATCTGTTGCACAACTTTCGGATACTGTTAATTTTTGACTCGCACTACATAAAATGTAAAATAATCAAACACTATTTTAGGAAAACATGCTGAGTGTTTTTGCTGTAAGTTGAGTGGAAAGTTACAATAAGTTGCTTGTCTGTGGTCTATAAAGCTCTTAGAATAATTAGGCCACTGAAGATGGTAGCAGGAAATGAAGCTGCACATGCTAGCATTATATATTTCTGCTGCTGTTTAAGGAGACGTCATCCAGCACAAAGGAAACATGTTATTTTGTAAGATAGTGTCTGCATTGCAAACATTGTTTCTGATTTTTTTTTTAAATGTATAATATGTATACCAACACAGTACCATTGTCAGAAATCCAATTCAGATGTTCGGGAAAGAAAAAGTGCACCTCAGGATGCACAATTAAGTTTTTAACAATTGTGATGCTATGGAGCCAGATCAGTCTCAAAAGTAACAAATTTACTAAATAAAATTCATACATCTACAGCACAATTCATATGTATAAAATTCAATATGTAAATTCATAAATGCACAAAACCAATTTGTGAATTCACAAGTAAAACGTTAAACGTTAAATAAACATTTGCCCAAATTAATTGAGTCTGTATATTTATAAATGTGTTTTGAATTACGAATTTGATTTTGAAATTCTGAATTAGATTTGTGTATTTATGAATTGTTCTGAATTTACAAATAAGATTTGTGTATTTATGAACAGATTTTTTAAATTTACAAATTAGATTTATGCATTGATAAACTGTGTTTTGAATTTAATACTTGGATTTTGAAATGGACCCTTTCACAAGACTATTATGACGCGTTTTACGATCATCATAATCTTAAATCCTTGAAAGTTTTTAATAATTCGATTTTCAAAAAAGACATTAGAACTTATCTGTATTTATGAATGTATTATATCACCTTTGTGTCAAATAAAAAAAAAAAACTAATTATCACTTAGGTGAGGTGTTTCTAATGTTTCTATGGGGCTGTGAGTAAATTTGATGTTATTCTGTCTTCTGGTTGCCGTCATCAGTCTTAACACCATCATAGAGTTTTTCTTTTATTATTTCAGCAAATACAATTGTAAAAAAAAAATTGCTGTACTCTCCAATTAGCTCAACTCTAATTTTACCTAACAATGACGACTTCTGCTACTGAGAAACCAGAAAATGAGTAAAGGGTCTATTCTGAATTGGATTTGTGTTTTTATGAATTGTGTTATGAATTTATTAATTATTTTGTAAAACTTTTATGAGACTGATCTGGCTCCATATGATTCAGAGTTTGGACAGTAAGTTGTTTACATAAGATTCCATTTGTATACGCATATAATCTTATTTGAACCAACAATGTAAATGTAGCTTCATTTGCTACAAAACGACTGAGAATAACAGCCACCTCAGGTATGATCATGTGCCTTGTTTTTATGAAACACACAAAATATTGAAGACATAACGTGATCTAATTTTGCCTCGACATTTTAAACATGTCTGATGTTTTCTACTAGATGAAATTTTGTCTTCACCTGAAAAAACAAAAAGGTGAGAGAGATGATCAGAGACGGTCATATGTTCCTCAATTTCTGGTGAAATCTGTCAACTCTTACCACCTAAAATGAGCAATTAGCATTGAATTTAAATTGAGGTAAAATATGTGTGTTTTATTTTATTCTAGCTTTTTAAGCTAACAATTTAAGTTGACACAGCACCACTATGTTTTCATGGTAAGTGATGTAATATAGTTTTTTATTATACTAAAATAGAATGCTCAGTCATGATTAACCAGTCAGAAGGAAGTTTGAATGCTTTATCATATAAAGACAATCTAAAATGTTAGTTGTCTATTGTGTAATGAGAACCACAAGATTGTGCCACATATGTCAGCCACAGTCTTGACTTCCCTTTTCTGATTTGTTTCCTTTTACTTCAGAGAATGATGAATGCAGTCTGGGCAGTCGCTTGTATAATGGAGTTGAGGTGAGAATGGCTCTTTCTCAATCAAAATCTACCAAAATGGGAAAGTCAAGGTTATTCCGCATTTTCATGATTGTGGGTGCCGTCTTCATGATCCTTCTTATAATCATATACTGGGATGATGTGGGGGCCTCTAATTTTTACTTGCACACTACCATCTCCGGACCCCATCCGTCACGCCTCTCTCCACAGGGCCGTCGTGGGCCTGAAAAGAAAGTAGAGGAAGACAAGGAGAGCTCGTTCTTGACGGACATAGATGCATTTGTCAACCAGTTTCTAGAAGGAACCGCAGACCCTACAGAACAGGTGCGAGGAGAACCCCCTCCTGGAGACCCTCACAATCAGTCCTCTGAGAAATCAGATGAGAAATTTGTCCCGAGACGGGAGTGGAAGATCCATCTGTCCCCCATTGATCCTGAGAAAAAGCAAAAGCAGGAAAATAGAAAGCAGCTGATCCAGGATGTGTGCGGCAACAAAAGTGTCTTTGACTTCCCCGGAAAGAACAGAACTTTTGACGACATTCCCAATAAAGAGTTGGATCACCTCATTGTGGACGACAGGCATGGGATTATCTACTGTTACGTTCCCAAGGTGGCCTGCACAAACTGGAAGCGCATTATGATCGTGCTGAGTGAGAGCCTGCTAGTGGATGGTGTGCCCTACCAAGACCCTCTAGATGTTCCTCAGGAGCTCATCCACAACAGTAGCCTGCACTTCACCTTCAACAAGTTCTGGAAGCGCTATGGAAAGTTCTCACGGCACCTCATGAAAATCAAGCTCAAGAAATACACCAAGTTTTTGTTTGTGCGGGACCCTTTTGTACGACTGATTTCTGCCTATCGCAACAAATTCGAACAAGAGAACGAAGACTTCTACAAGAGATTCGCTCTTGTCATGCTAAAAAAATACAGCAATTACACCGATCCACCGGCATCAGTAGTGGACGCCTTTGCCGCAGGAATTCGACCGTCTTTCTCAAATTTCGTTCAGTATTTATTGGATCCTAGCACTGAGAAAGAGATGCCTTTCAACGAGCACTGGAGACAAATGTACCGTTTGTGCCATCCCTGCCAGATAAATTATGATTTCGTGGGGAAGCTGGAGACTTTGGATGAGGACGCTGAGCACTTGTTGCGTATTCTCCGCGTAGACAATATCGTCGAGTTCCCAGAAAGCCATCGCAACCGAACGGTCAGCAGTTGGGAGCAGGACTGGTTCGCCAACATACCTTTAGAAACCAGAAAAGAGCTGTACAGGCTCTATGAAGCTGACTTTAAACTGTTTGGATATTCCAAACCAGAGAAGCTTTTACATGAGTAATGCATTGATCATCAACTTTATCAGGGTGCTGAAACGATTCTCACAGCACAATCAACAGGGGCAATAGGAGTTCCTGCTGCCTGGTTCTTAATGTGCGGCTCTTTCACATGATGCTGTTAATGAAGGCTCTTTCACATGACTCCAGTCCGAAGGGTCAATGTTAGATTAGTTAGATTGATCCAGTTAGCTCCTCCAGATAGGTTCTGTAATTGCAGACATTGCTTTCTCCATTGTTTGCCATTCAAAAGTGCAGTGCCCTCCTGAACGTGACGTGGAAAAAAGTTATTATAACCATGAATTTAGAATATGTTTACAAATTATTAATTCCCTCCCTCATAGTTAAATCATTGCCACAGTTTACTCATTTAAGTTTAGTTGAGGCCATTTTGCACTCATATGATGTCTATTTTAATGTGGTTCAAATCAAATCAAAGTAATTAAATGAAAAACTCTGAGACAAAAACCTCACAGGGAACCTCTCTCTACACAATGCTTGTTAAAGGCTGATTTATACTTTTGCGTCAAGCGCACGCGTATGGTCCGGCACAGCCTTCGCATAGCCCTTGCCATGGCTGATGCTAACGCTGATGCGCACCTCTCAAAAAATTTAACTACATGTCGCAACGATGCGTAGTGCAAGCTCCGTTATTGGTAGGCTTGGGCAGCTGTGACAAGTGTGAGCGAGCCCAGTGGAGCGAGTGTTTACAAGTGTCGAGTCCTGTGAAGGAGGTCCAGATGGAGACTTATGTTTTTACCTTATGATTAAAGTTGTTGCACTACTGCCAGTTCCCACAGTTAGCCACTTGTACATTAAGGTAGCGTTCAGGAAAAAAACAAAACACCAGTGATGTAACTGGACACAGAGTAACATAAAAGCCTACTGCCAGCTAGCGTTTTGGAAGTGTTATTGCAGAGCAACACAAACAGCATGCAGAAGTATAAATGCATGACTACACGCAAGGCTAATGCCATGAGTCACGCTGATCACTCAACACTGAATTATAAATAAGTATGTGCAAGCCAGGGACATGATCTGAGCTTTTTTTGGCTTCCTTTGTAAAGTAAGAACGTAAAGTAGTACTAGGTGTTGTGACCAATGTGGTGATTTGATTATTTTTCATATGGATTTGGTTCAATATCAGTAATATAATGACTGATATTAATATTTAATATTTCATTTAAAATGTTAATTTTTAAATGTTATTAACCACACTTGATAAAACAGTTAAGACTTGTAATCAGATTACAATTTCAAGGCATTATGCATTAAAATTAACAACACATACGATTAATAAAAGCTCTTGTACTTTTCATGTGGAGTTTAGTTAAGTTAACTAATGTTTACTATTGGATAGATAACATTAGCCCAATAAATAGTCCCAGAACTTTTAAACCATATTTCAGCATGAATAGATGTGAAACATCATAACAAGTGAAAATGTTTGAACCATTCAGCGAACCAATGAAGTTTTCAAGTGCTGTTGTAAGCACTTCTGCAAACAGTGTTAATATTCTTATTTCTTAAAAAGCACTCCAAAATACTGTGAATTATTATTTAAACTTTATAGTGCCCACAATTTTATTATTGTGCAGATTTATTATCACAATGTATTGAATTATTGAATATCAGCATATGTCCATATTACAGTTTAAGAAATGAAACTGCTTTGTAATTCAAAACCGTTTAATAAAACCATTGTCAAAAATAATAATAATAAAACTGAACATTAATATTTTTATTATTATAAAGTGTCTTTGCAGGGTCATTGTGTTATCGCAGAATCTACCCAGGGCAAGATATTTAGATGCTGTCTACACGGGATGTGACAGAGATTCTTTTGTCCTCCATGTTTTGTTAAATTGGTGATAAAGTGATATCAAAGAATCCATATATTTCACACAGCCCTGTGTAAAAACAAAGTGGAACTGATTGAGCCTATCACAGTGCAGATGGTATACAGAAAACACAAGACATTTAAATCACTCATGCCTGTGGTTTAATCAAAACTAGGAAAATACGAGTAAAACGAGGGAATAAATGAGAAAAATGTGACCATATTTTAAATAAAAAAAAAAAATTAGAAAATGAGTACTACAATATGAACCAAATTGAAAAAGCAAGAGATTTTGTAAATATAATGTGGCAATGATTTAACTTAAATGATTAAACAACTGATTTGACAGTGATGAGAAAGTGAATGAGAACACCCCCCCCCCCCCCCCCCCCCAACCACGTCATGTCCAAACAAAAGTATCGATGTTTTGCAAAAATTTGATTATATGTTGTACCAGTGCCTGCTTTTTATTTTTGAAGGGCTCTTAAAAACAGTGAAATGGGTTTTGGATGTTTTTTCTTGGTCTGCTGCCTTTGACATCAAAGCTCATGATAGTCAGTAGTGAAGGATTGAAGACCTTGTGATGCTGTTAGCTAATGAGCATTGCTATGATCTTACAGCACATGTAATAGGCTCAAAACATGCTCTAGATGAAGATTTCAGTGCAGGAGACAACTCTTGGCACAGTAAAAAGTGTGAAAAGCAGTCATTGGCTGCACTTTTGTTGCACTGTTCAGTGCATCGAGTCCTGTGAAAGAGTCTTTTGGTCTTTGCGGGCATTTAAAGCGATACAGTAGTGAATATACATTCCTTGCACACAGGTTACATTTGCTCAGTCCATTTCCCCCAAGTGTGTTACTATTATTTGTACAGACCTCAAGGACAATTGAGAGAGAGAGATTTTGATGGTTATCTACTCAATGAAACCTGCACAATTTACTTTTTATTGATATTCTGAACAGTGTTTGAAAGAAACAAACTCACCTCACCAGCATACCTGTCAACCCTCCTGCTTTTCCTGGATTCTTCTGTATTTTACAGTTCTATCCCGCTATCATCCTGTAAAGGTATTTTCCCATATTTCTCCTGTGTTTTTAATCTTTCTATGAAGAGTGGCAATAATTAGACTCTCTGGGTTTTGGGTAACAGACATATACAAATAATAATAATAATAATAATAATAATAATAATAATAATAATATCTAAACATGTCGATCTTGGTGGGTTTTCATTTAAACAACAAATTTAGTCTTAAATAAGCATAATATGTAAGGAAGTAGTCAAATAAGCTTTCATTTTAGATCTGTGCATTTTATTAACGTGACACTTCTGTCATTTAATGTGATCAAACAAAAAAATCTAAATGAGGGATTCATTCGCTGCTCTGTAATCAGATTGATTAAATTATTACTGACCATTTCAACTCTTTATACACAATGAAACTGCTCCAGATGAACAGAATTAGTAATTTGGGAAATTTCTGTTTTTTTTTGTTGTTGTTGTTTTTTTTAGGTTATCCCTTATTTTCACATCTCAGTGTTGACAGGTATGCTCACCAGTGTTATTATGTATTGTTTTAGTATGTGATAATCCCAGCAAAACACCATTGTCCTTTCATTTTAAGTTGTTTTAGCTAAACAACCACCAAAATACAAAATAAGAGTTTAAAAAAAAAAAAGTATTGTACATTTAGCAAGTGCACATATTAGAGTATTTTAGAATATTTTTGTAACCTTTTACAATTAAATGTGAAAAGTGAAGGCACTTTTTTGTCCTCGGAAAAAAAGCTAGATATACATTTTGAAATGCAAGCAGAAGTTTTACATATTTTTATTACAATCATAAAGGGATCTGCTGCTGCGCTCACAGCAATTTCTTTCTTTCTTTTTAAGGCATTTGTGTCTTTTGTGACAGAGAAACCTCAGTTTTTATGTTTCCCTATTTTTCCTCCTGGATTGTTGCAACCTTTTAATGTAGTTCACGGTCTCTATATTGCACAAAATTGTCAGTGTTCTGCAGTGAAGCAAGTAAATGGAGTAGCTGACATCAAAAAGATATTTCTTTGTAACAGAGACTGAAGTATTCCGATTATGGCCTGTTCTTGTGTAGAGAAGTCTTGCCTTTCATCATTTTGATCCTTTTCTTCTGTAAGTGTGTAGCAGGGACTCGCATACTCTGATCAGCAGCATGCTATAGATGTTAGCATGCATGCCTTGAGGTCCTTTATTAAATATGCATCACTCACAAAATACTGTAGCAAACTAAATTCATTGTTTTTTGATCTATTAGGCTTTTTGCAAATTGATAGGAATATCATTGCAGGCACAGGGTATTTATAATTCGTTCTTAGCAAGAGTTTGGTGTAGTTGCTTAGTTAAATCACAAATGTCATTTAGTTTATATTGTAGTTTCTTCTCTAGCTGTGAGTTGAAAGTGGGCATGTGCAAAAAAAAAAAAAGTATTTAAGGGGTTATCCTGATTATTTTTATGGTATTTCTTAACCGAGAAAGTGTTTCTTTTAGCTTTCCCTCATCGTGTTTTTGTGCTGCATTTTGCACATTGGATCACATGTATAAAACTCCTTTAGGCATGAGAGGCGGAAGGATTTAGGAAGATGGATTGTATATTGTTGTATGGAATTATACTGTGGAGCACAAGTGTAGCATGATTGTTGTGAAAGTGAGGGGTCGGAGAGAATGAGACGCCACATTTCAGCCTGGCCTTTCCCGGACACCACCATTTTGAATCGGTGCACTGTTTGGCCCATTTGGTAGCAGTGCCTTTGGAGAAAAGTTTACACAAAGTATTTTTGTAAAGCAGCTCTCTGACTTGCAGTTAAAGCTCCTGCTTAAAAGAAAACAAATAAATAAAGAGTAATGCTAACGTGTTGCATCATAGGAAAGATTCAATTTTTTTAATGTGTGCCACAGTTGTGGCTGTGCTGTTCAGATTTGTTACGTTGGGTCAATTGGTTAAGCATTGGTTGCATTTTTTTAATATATACAGTATATAAATCACAGGTTTAAAAAAAGACACGTGCAGTTGCCTATGCTGTTGGTTTCTGTCTTTGGTGCCACATTGTACAAAAAAAGTGTTATTGTTTTGTGATTGTTTTGATGCCAATTTTAAGTTCAACTTTCAGTCATAGGAATTTCTTAGCTGCATGAAATATTTGTCAGGACATCATGCT